GTATGTATGTATGTATGTATGTATGTATGTATGTATGTATGTATGTACGTGTGATTATGTGTGATATACATACATATATATATATATTATGTTGTATAGATTATATATCTACCAAGAACTCTACGCGTCCTGGGTCTGTTGCGGTGGTTTTTATCAGCAAGCAGGACAATGGGTCCCAAAACAAACAAATCTAAGATGTGGTTAAGTTACAGCCGCTACAGCTACCTTTCCCAGTGTGCCCCTTCAACTACCATAACCCCCCTTGCCATCCGACATATAAACACAAAATACATGCTGGGCGGCCGGTAGCGATCCAGGGGGATGGTGCTGTCCTGCGAGGGGGTCACAACAGCTGCACGAAAAAACACTCCAATCACGATGAATGTGCGGAGAAAAAACAAGAAGAGTTAAAACGCGTTCGTGGAGGAAAATGTTTCCATCTGCTGCAGCTGCTTGTGGAAAGCTCGGCAAGAAGGCATACTAGTCTGAATCCGAGACGATGCAAGAGCTATATCTAGTTCCTTGGTGATTTTGTGCTTCTGTGAGGTCAATTGAAATCTGCAAGAGTACAGCTTTGTTGGTAAATCCGTCAAACTGGTACGTGAACCTCTCCACCACAAATACAAACAAAGTCAGGACCACACCAGTCAAGGTGAAACTACTTGAGGATTTCTTTGTTTGTTCATCCCAGGTCTGAGGGAAAACGGTGCCATGCTGTTCATTCAGTGGGCCCTTCAAACCACAAAGAAAGGTGCTGCCGAAAACACACAAATCACTCAAATCAGGGCTCGGCATTCCATCCCTTTTGGTGCTTTCCTTCTCCATCCTGCTGTAGATCAACCTCAACATCTTCAAATACAAATCGGATGAGGTTCCGGCAACTAAATTTCCTGACACCTGTGTAGAACCTATTCCCACGTAAACTCCCTATATAATTCCCACATCTTTTGATACTCCATGCCGATGTCCGCCTCTGGCCCTTCTCCCCTTCGTCGCCCCCGAGTTCAAAGCCCTTCGTCCTTCCCAGTGAGCTCCTTGAGCTGGTCCAGGGTCGATGCATAGCGCACCTGCTTGGCCTCTCTTTCTGCCGGCTGGGCCCGGGCGGCTTGCGTGGATGAACGTGGAGGTTTCTGTGAGATTGATGTAGTATTTTCTGATGTGTTTGGGGAGTGTTGTGCGAACAATGTGATTGTTTCTGAGGTTTGCGGATGGTTTTTGAAACATGGGATGTGTTTACGCCTTTGGATGACTTGCTCGGACATGTCCGGACCACCTCAAAACATGAGACCAGAACACATCCGTAGGCAAACACTTCTGTCCCACCTTGAGTTCACTTTTAAAATGGCCCATTTCGGGGAATCGATTAGACCCTTTATGCGTTTCTCCTGGTAAGGTGACTGATACATACTGAATCATAGTGATCTATTCCCAATGCATAGTCAAATAATGCGGTCGAATGTCTATGCAATTCCTTTCCATGTGCAACAAAATCAACTCCTAGGGTCTCAATGTGCCTTAGAACAAAATCCATTTGATAGTATTGGGTCGAAGGCGGAAACCCCTTGACACATTCCCAGTGTTGTCATGTACCACACAGCTGACCCTTGGCACATGGAGCTCGTTCTCTTCCTCCCACACCACAAGTACTCATTGCAAATGCGGTTGGGGTGCCTAATGTATACTTAATTCATCTTAATTCTCCCCGCATTCCTTCATCCACAGCTCGTTGCCGCAAACAGTGGCACCCGTTGGCTCCAGTGAGTTGCGCCCCGGTCCCGGTCCCCCAGTTGCGCCGCTCAGTGGCCCTTGGCTGCTTCACGCGTCGACGGCCAACCACCAGGGCCTCGGGCCGCCAGGGCCAGGCGTGCCACGGATTCGCACCATAAGACAACTGGGCGACCAAAAAACAACGTGAAAAGAAACCTACAAGCGCTCGACCTTTCGCAGCCCACACAACAGGAAGTCAGCCCACCGCATAGCACACCGATGAAAAGAAGTCAACCCACAAGAACAGGAAGCCACCCCACATTGTTGAATCCCAATGGCACACCATCACCCACAAATCTGTCAACGTGCACTCCTTAAGCATGTTTGTGTGGTGTGCCACTGCGCTTTGCTTGCAAAATGCGCACTAAACGTCGGTTTCAATGTGTATTTTTCCGCATGGCACGTCGAAGATGCAGCACGCATGTCTTATGCAGGAGCATGTGCCCAAATATCTACTGTATTCAAGTGGTTCCCACATGGCACACTGAAACACACGCGACCTTCATGTGGCTGTACCTACCCTATAACCCCACGTTTGGCTTGCACTGGGCCCGATATGTGGGGCTCACCAAAGCTCGACTTCAGCCTGGGTTTTGGAGAGACTGAGACTGCAAAAGGAATTTGACCATGCAAGTCGTAGAAGCTGAAGAGGGAAGTTATGAAAGCCGGTGTGCCCGCAGGTTTGTGGCACCTTTTCTCGTCCCCTTTTTATATAGTCCATGTTTGAGTTTTCGGGAGGTTTCTTCGGATTCCCAGGCACAGACACCGCCGCTACCGAGGCAGCGCTGGAGAGGCTTGCTCCACCCCTGAGTGCATGTCCTGACGATGCGGCTTGGTCCAGGGAGTGCTTGGTGGGATTAACCAGTAACTGGTTTAATATGAATATCAGAATATCTATAATATTTATATATAATATTAAATGTTCTTAAAATATCTACTCTTATACTCATCTCGCTGCTTTGCTTGCAAGTCGCCAAGTCTGGGAAATCTTGGGGAAATACCATGAAATAACGTTTTTGAATGTGGCGTAGACGAGGGTAGTAGTGGGGGCGAATGAGACATTTCTGGGAGGGGGGGTGGCCAGTCTCATCAGCTAAACAAACCCATACAGGAAACACAGATTGTGATCAAATGCACGAACTAGAGAATATGTTTGTAATTAATATATTAGTATATAATACTTAATCCCCCGCATGAATGGCACATAAGTCCACCATAATATCATAGCTTTCTGGCCAACCGCTTGGGAGAAGGGCTCAGCCCGGTTGAAAACCAGATTAACACAGACACACGCGACACAACCCCTCCAAGGAGGCCGGACTCCATCTTGCCCAGTTTCCCACGTCGTCCCCTCGTCTAGTTCCGCCCCCATCACCGGCCTGTCGACCACACCGGTGCTCCGCGACCGGTGACCGCGTCGGACACGGCCGGAGCGTTCGCGCCGCGTCCGCCGGGTGCGAGGAAGGTCAGCGACATTGGGCGGAGGGTCGTCCGGTTCGACGGGGCCGAAGAAGCAAAACTGAGAGCCGAATCTCTGCGAAATCGAATTCGACTATACCAGCCGGTGGGTATACGTTGGTACTTATGGTAAAAGGGCCGTTGATCGGGCAGGAGTGTGAGTGCATGGGTGTTTCTTCTTGCACCTCACTATTCTAAGACTCCAGCACAGCAGGCTGGAACCGTGAATTAGGCACCCTCTTGCAAGTGGCAAGTGCATGGCCATAATTCAATGCAAAACAATCTGCAAGCCACTGGCTTCTTCTAGCTTTTGGGGGCCCACGCAAACATGCACACGTACCAGTCTGCAAAGGTCATCCTGCAAAGGCCAGCACTTTGTACTACTAGTATCTACGCCATAGGCTACTAATAGTAGCTATAGAGTCTGGGAAGAAGGACATATCAACAAAATGATCGCAAACAACTACCATGTGGTTTGCTAATAGACTTTCCTTTGACATCTCTTTCAAATCCCGTCAGGTGAATTCAAGTGAAACCAACAAAACCAACAAAAATCCTAGAAACTTGGTCCAGAAGAGTGGTTTGTGGAGCTCGAACACAATATGAACCACCCCTCTCGACTAAAAATCCAAATCTGGTGGAAAAAGTTTTAAAACATCCTGAGACGCCTCAGAGCACCACCCATTAGACACCCTTAACCACTAGTCCGTGTGAATACACTGTTTGGGGAACAAATCCCCTCTGAGGATGGTCACCGGATGGTCACTCCCTTCCCATCTGAGCCGGCGGAGACTGGGCGCCGGGGCCAGCCCCAAAAGCCAGATGGCCCGCGCCAGGTATAGACCGCCTATAACCCCCAAAAGAAGCACAGGGGCGGCTGGGCAAAACTCAAAAAGCGTCAGCGTTTTTATTGATGATATTGGCGTCATTTGGCATCTGATGCACTGCGTCTTGACTGGAATCCGTGTTGGGGGAGCAAAACCCTGCAACTGAGAAAAAACTCTCACCTGCTCGCAATCCAATCTTCAGAACCTAACAATAGACCCATTCTACTATCTATTCATATTCATATTCATTCATTGGTGATCTGTTCACCCCTTGTCTGACATAGATCTGACAAAGAACCTTGCCTGCTGGCACCTTGCTGGAAACCCAAATGACTAACTGCCTGTTTTTTGCGTGCCAGAAATCAAACCTCCAGAAACCAACCCCAATGAATACGCCGCTTTTGCACACTCATGTGTTTTGTTTTCGGAATTGCTGGTGCTAGATTATATAAGTTGTTCTTTGAAGATTGGTGTCACAGCTCTTAAGCCCATGAGTTTCGCGCGATCATTACCTATTGCTGTTATTGACTCCTGACGCATTTTTGCCATGCGCCGCCATGTCGCGCACATGGCACGTTCCTTGAGGATCTCATCCCAAGGCCCAGCGGAGGTTGCCCTCACCAAGGTGTGTTTTCAACTAGATGTGGCCCTCAGCCAAGTCTGGAGCTCCAACTCCCAGCTGAGTTGCCATGTAGAGGTTGTCGAAGACGGCACCCCCAAAGTTCAGGATGGAGTAGACCCACTGCAGCGGCAAAAAGCGGACACCGCACAGCTGATCCCATGACAAAATGCACAATGGATCGAGGACCCTCATGTTCCATTCGAATCGCTTTCCACATGTTGAGGAAAACCTTAAAGGCGCTTCGGTTGACATACATTGTTCATTACCTGCGTTCACCAGCTAGATTCCATGAAGCAATCAAAAGCAACCGTAAAAAAAACTATACAAAATAGAAGTTCAGCTGCATGGTCAAGAAGTTTGTAACAAACAGTGGGTTTGGAAATGGTTTGAATTGATTGAATGCGTTCAAAAAAGCCATTAGCGGACCGACATCTTAGTTGGTGTTTTGCTTTGGCATTGGCTTGTTTCTTCTGGACACCAAGCGCTTGGCTCCTGTATGAGGACAAAAGCGCCTTTCCACTCTTGCAGAAAGGGGTACGGTATGCTGGAAGGTGCGGGGACAAGGATTTGCTGGCTCCTCGTGCTTTTTTTCTTCAAACACCCCAACCTTTCGGTCACCATTTCCTACGGCCCGGTCTCCAGAAACATACGTGGCGAGGCGTATCGCATGCGTTTTCGCATGCCCAAAGCCAAAACAGTCTGGTCATGTCTGGTCTGTCTGGCCGTACCCGTGGATGGTAGGGAAACTATTGAAGAGTGCTGCTCGACGAACTGACGAACCGAAAGGGTCTCGTGATGTTCTGAAATATAACTTGAATCCCAAGCGGTGGTGCCTGTGCCGTTGTCAACAAGTGTTTTTTCGGAATTGAGCCGAGGGCCAAAGAGTTCTGAGTGGACATAGCTGTTACAAAGGGGTGTGCTGCAAAAGCACAATTAGTTGGGCGGTCATGACCGACACCTGTGTTTGGCACCTGCGTTTCAGAGAAACATCTGGGGCTTGCGCAGTAGGTGTGTCATTTTGAATGCCTTTGACCTGAGCTGACCAAGAAGTTGAGTCGATGGCCCGTGCAGCAAGGCCAGTGCAGCAAGGGATTGACACAAAATCATCGGTGGAGGTGTCAATGCAATGGTTGAACTTCACAAGAACCAGTGGGAAAAAGGAGGCCGTACAGCCCACTTGTTCTTCCAACTGTAGGTTGATTGCCCAACAGACCGCAGAATCAGGACGAATCGCGGGAGCAATGAAACAAGAATACAAAAAACGCTTGAACAAGAACCAAAAACACACCATTAAACTCCAACAAGAAACTTATACACCCCAACAACTACCCCAACATGACCTTCTACTATCGACCTGAATAGTCTTACACCACAAACAATATCCAACAGTTGCATTTTGTACCGCCTAATCCATGTTATGGATCGCTGCACCTGCCGCACCTCTCAACCAAAGGGACACGACGCGGGGTCCCAGACCCGTCGCTTTGCAGCTTCTTGGATCCTGCCGACGGCGCCACGACGTTAGAGATGTGGAAACTGTGGCATGCGCCCTCTTCGCTGGCAGTGAGGTACAGTCGGAACAGTATATTTTTTGGCAATTCCTGACACCACCTGTTGAAGTGAATCGGATAAGCCCTCGGGCTATGTAGGTTAGTGAGGGATAAGTGAGGGTCACGAAAGCCAACCTGGAAACCAACGGGGCAGGTCAATATAGTCGGTCAACTGTCTCTGATCGGATAAGCTTACACCCCAGGCACTGGACATAAAAAAGCTAAGAACATCCACCCAAACCCTGAATTGACCTTGAAT